TGTGTATATATATATATATATATATACACATACACACACACACGTATGTATATAAATGTATATATGTATGTATATAAAATATTTTTAGCATATGTTTAGTATTTTCATGAGTTTCATTAGGTATTTTTATGTATAAATATACATGAAATAATATAAACCATCTATAAAAGCATATACTGCTTCTATAGTTCAACCTCAAAACTCATTTGCAGGTGCTACTTTGTTCATAAACAAATGCCTTGACATTTTTTTTTTTTTTTTTTTTTTTTTTCATTTTAGCTTTTTTAATCAACAAACGGTTTGTAATTGTTTTGTTTTTAGATTTAGTTAACAATAACAACACTGCAGTTGAGCTTTTTTATTAGTTTTAATAATATAATATAATAAATAAATAATTAGTTTAATAATTTTAGATCTTCAATTTTAACCTGTTTATTTCATTTAGTTGCCAAGGCAGCGTTTTTAATTTTTGTTTAGGTTTTCAGTTCAAGTTATTCATCTGATACATCTTATTTCAGTTTAGCTTTATTTCAGTTAATGAAGATGATTTTAATAGTTTTAGTTTTAGCTTTAGATTTAGTTAACAATAACAACACTGCAGAGCTTTTATATGACTGAACAAAGCAGCTTCTTTGACCATTGAATCAACAGGCCTGACCTTTCCTGCAAGTCAAAGAAACAGCTTGCGTGTCTCGCACATCAACTTTGTTTAGTCGCGCTGGCAGATGCTGCTAAACCGTCCCAGCTGAAAAAATTTCAGTGAATGAAAGCCAGAGAATGCCTCGTTCTCGATTTTATTTAACGTTCAAAATGGCTCCTTGTAAAAAAATGTTGCTAGCTTGACTGACATCAGGTATATCCATCACATAAATGTTTCACTTTATAGCTTTTCTTTCTTTCTGGTGCTCTTTCTTAAAAATAGCGTGCGCTTGCAGCCACAGGATCAATAAAAGTGTTCAGACTTTGGGAAGATGATTCACTGTGTCGGCTAGAATTGCGTCAGTGTCTACGATTTACAGCCTTGTCGACGTAGCACAGCCTTGAACTGGCAACCGGTTCGATGCCATTTCAGAACATGTGCTCTCAGCTACGTGTATATCAATATGTGATATGCGATGACATTATATATGATCTAACATGGTCACTGAATTGTCAGGTTTTTTCAGTTGTCAATCACAGTAGTACTAATTTTACAAAAAATTTATGTACAAAAATGTGTAATTTGTTCTTATTATTTTAAACTTATATTATTATTATTATTATTATTTATTTTGCTTTAGTAGTTTTCACTGAATTTTGTATGTTTTGTAGTCATCTAAAATAATAATAATAATAATAATTAAAATATAAATATAAAAATATAACAAATACCACTACTATTCATCCTACTACTACTAATAAAAAATAATAATAACAGCAACAACAACAATAAAAATTGATGTGCATGTCAGTTTTGCGTGAATTTTTTAAAGCACTTATAATTATTAATATGAATAAGTAAATAATTTACTGAATACTAAATTGCTGAATTAGTTTTGACTTAATATTCTGTTTAGTCAATAATGATGATGATGATGATAATAATAACAACAAAAATAAAAAATATATTATTATTATTAGTAGTAGTAGTAGTAGTAGTAGTAGAATAAGTATTAATTGTTTAATTTAAGTATTATTATTAAATACACAGTATTTAATTTCAAAACTAATTCCATGCTTTTTTTATTATTCAGTAAATTGTTTATTTTATATATTTTATGTTTTCTTACAAATCTGTGTAAATATCAGAAATTCTTTTGCTTAACCAGTCATGTGCTTCAGAAACACAGCACAGGCTATTTGGGATATCTTTTGTTGAATTTGTTTGTATTAGACATGCTTCGAAGTGAACGTCTAAACGTCAGGTTTCTCTTCCTTTCCTCTTCCAGTCGAGAGCCACCTGGCATCCAACGTCCACAAGAGCCGCCTGGTGCAGCAGGACCTGCAGGTGGCCAAACGTCTGCAGGAGGAAGAGGACAAGCGGGCCAAAGCCGAGAGCAAGAGACAGCATCGCCACCTGTGAGTCACCTGAAACCCTCACCTCAAAACATCAGAAAGATGCCGATCATCTAGAGATCAAACTGTACTCTTCCTGTTTGGAAAGGAAGGTCGTTCTTTTCTCAAATCTTCCCAAATTCTTAGCAGTATCAGACGCTGCAGAGCCCGTTGGGAAATCCAGCTTGTTTTGCCGTCTGTTGAGATAAGAGCCATTGTAGGAGTGTGTACTTGCATTATCAGTCCTTGATAACTGCTGTTGTCCCTCAGATGTTGACATTGTGTAAAGCTGAGTCTCTGCTTCACATACAGAAACATAATAATATGTGAGTTTAGTTTGGCTCCGGCTCCGGTTAGAGCTCGTGTCTGGCCTTGTGTCGTCTCGTAGTGCACTGTGGCAGTAAAATGTTTTGACTTCTGCTCATGCCACATGCGGATAAAGTGTTCCTTCCTGCTGGGCGACGTCTCAAGGTCTCTGAGCTGATGCTATCATCAGAGTTTGAGCGGGGCAGAGCGAGAGAGCCGTGAGCCTGAGGGGAGACTGCAGTTAGTGTGCAGGAGACGATAATGTTATGGATTTGAAGTCAGTTTAATACAAGTATTTTGGGATTTTTTTTTAAAGAAATGAATACTAATGCTAACAAATGTTAAGCAGCACAACTATTTTCAGCATATTAGACTGATTTCTGAAGGATCATGTGGCACTGAAGAATGGAGTAATGATGCTGAAAATTCAGGTTTACATCACAGGAATAAATTTCATTTTAGGAATAGGAAGCAGTTATTTTAAATTCCAATAATATTTTACAATATTGCTGTTTTTACTGTATTTTTTTAGCAAAAAAAATAAAAATAAAAATGCAGCCTTGGTGATCAAAACACTTCTTTTAAAAATGGTCTCCTATGCTACTTGACTGAAAAGCTTGTGTTGCCTAAACATGTCTTTAAGTCAAACTAATTACATTAGCTAGGTTGTAATGGGATTGCTTTACTAATTACTCTGTCTGAATGGTAATCACATTACTAATTACTGGTGAATTAATCTCCCAATCCTGTGTAAAGAACAACATAAGAAATATAAGATAGACACCAGATTGTCCTTTCAGTTCTTTATTTAAGATCAGTTACATTTTAACAGTTTATAACAAAGACATTTTTTTCTTCTGTCTTTGTAGAGCTTCTGCATTATAATCATAATTATTATTTTTAAAATTATTAGTTGTCACACTTCACACTTCTCTAGTAAGTTTCGTCTGTGTGTGAAGACCGTAGCTCAAATCCGTGAATGAATGTTCCGAAGTGAAATAAACTTCTTACGGAATAAAGTTGAATGGAATTGAAATGAATTAAACTTGAATAAACTTCAACTTTACTGTTCAGTGCACTGATGTCAGACTCATTTTGGATAATAAAAGTCTATGGAAAACCATTGAAACTTTGAACGGCCATATCTCCTTAAAGGCGTGGCGAATCTGCACCAAATTCGGGGATCCCTTCAGCTCGAGGAACTCTCTCGAACGCAAATCGAGTGTACGTCTCGAGGCCACCTCTCATTACATATCTTTGTCACGTCATTATAAGTGTTTGATCACCACATTTGAGTGATCATTGCAAAAAATGTGTTTATGTATATATATTCTGTTTATGTATATACTGTATTCTATATATAGTACCAGTCAAATGTTTGGACACACGGATGGGGAAAGTGTCCAAACTTATGACTGGTACTGTACTATAATATACACGAAGAATATCGGCCGATATATCGATATCTGCCTTTTTTTACTCCCTAATATCGGTATCGTATCGGCCCCAAAAAACCCATATCGGTCGGGCTCTAATTAGTTGTAGTAGGAGGAGTATTAGTATTTTATTTGTATTTATTTAAATTAATTGTCAATATATTGCTAGTTAATATTTTATTATTTATAATAAAAAATAAAATTCATGTTCTACCCCGTGCTATATTTACAAAACCTTTGTTATTAACTAAATACGATTTAATATCTAATTGAAATAAACCTGAAATATAAATATTAAATGCAACCTAGACTCTTTAATCCAAAAAAATAGAAATGCAACCAACTGAAATAGTTTAAGTACTAAAATTACTAAAAACTAAAATAAAGCTAAATAGACATAAAAAACTTAAACTTGCCAAAAGCACAAAACAATAACTAAAACGAACTAAACTAAAATTAAAATGAACTGAAAGTATTAAAATATTCTGCAAGTATAAAAAAATGAATATTATTCTACATATTAATAAATAAAATACTACAAAATACCACTGGGTTTTGTATGTTTCCAGCTACCTAAGGCACTTAAAACATAAATCACACATTTTTTTAATGACAATTAGCACAAATTTATGATCACAGCCCTAGATAATAGTTACTCTGTAACCCATTTAACCAAATACTGCAGTCAGTCTTCCAAGAACACCATCTCACAGGAAGTGAAAGCCATGGTGGCTGATGCGAGAACTCAGTGTGTAAACTCAAGTGTTTTCTTTCCCTCTGTCTTGCCAGGGAACGCATCGACAATGAAATGGCTCAGGAGATTCAAGAAAAACTGGTCCGGCAGGCTGAACAACAGAGGCATCAGGAGGAGAAAGATGAGGTGAGAGCCATTCACAGCATTCACACACTCGCTTCGGGTCGGTCGGCGGTGCGGCTGCGGTTTAGCCACGCCCACAGCAGTCACATGACATCATTGTGATTGTGTTTGTAACACTTGAGAACGCATTCTCTGTGTGTTGGTCATAAGAAAAGCATAGATGTATCCACACCCATGACTGTTACAGCATTGCAGTGCTTGTTTCCTCCACTCATTCTTCTGAATTCATGTTTGTATGCGTTCAACTAGGCCATTGCCCGGAAGCTGCAGGAGCGAGAGATGAAAGAGGAGAGAAAACGGCAAAAGCAGATGGAAGGAAACCTCGAGGAGTACTACGAAGATAAAGGTGTGTTGACGCCCTCTGGTGGATGAAGCTGAAAAAAAGACGAAAGCACAGAACAGAATAACTCAAATTAAAAATGAAAATAAAAAAATTAAAGGGTTAGTCCACCCAAAAATGAAAATTGTCATTAATTACTCACCCTCATATCGTTCCAAACCCGTAAGACCTCTGTTCATCTTCGGAACACAAATTTGGAACACAAAGCTGAGAGCTCTCTGACCCTCCCCTAGATAGCAATGTAATTACCACGACCAAGGTCCAGAAATGTAGCAAGTACATCAGTCAGAGAGCTCTCAGTTTTCATTAAAAATATCTTAATTTGTGTTCCGAAGATGAACGGAGGTCTTACGAGTTTGGAACGACATGAGGGTGAGTAATTAATGACAGAATTTTCATTTTTGGGTGAACTATCCCTTTAAAGCTAATTGACGTATTAATGAAAATTATAGTAGTATATAAATAATCGTAAAATAACAAAAATTCTGGATGAATTAATTGCTGAGTCTGGTTACTGAATTACTAACTGAAAGTTTGCGTTTAAGTACTCAAATTACTAAAACTGAAGTAAAAAATAATAAATTTAAGTTAAAAAGACATTAAAATGGCAAAACATGCAACAAAATCACTGAACGTTTTACTAAAATTTAAATATAAAAAACTAATTCAAAATATTAATAAAAATAAATAATAACAAAATAACTAAAATTTTTTGGGTGAATTAATTGCTGAATAGACACATTCTCATATATATATATATATATATATATATATATATATATACACACACACACACACACTTACAGGATGCATAAAGTGTTTTTAAAATTTGATTAAATGCAGTTTAAACTTATTTAATAAACAGAAATTCAACTAACTGAAATAAAGTACTAAAATTACTAAAACTATATATATCCTATACTATATATAAACTATAACTGTATGTAGATGGATGGATTAGATAGATAGAATTTTCTTAATGGTTATAAAAACAAATAATTGGTTAATTATATGTAGTTTTGTACTGAATTTTTAGCATTTTAATATTTTGTAGCATACATAAATATAACAGTGTATGTTATAAACGATCAAATCTAAAAATACTAACATTAAAATGTAAAAAAAAAAAAAAAAGAGATTTATTTCATACATAGTTATGACTACTTATGAGAGTCAGCCAATAATGGTTTTGACATTCCTGTGCAAATTTTGCCATACATTGTGCTGTCCTGTTTTAACTCTTTCAGAGCTACTTGCCTTAGGAAGCAATTACAGTAATTAACACACATTTCATGCATTTCACGCCCCAAACACTCCAGACATCTGTTTATTGTGAAGTTAAACAACATGTCAGCTAACTTGACCGCATGTTAGTATGCAACTTAAGTTTGTTTAGTAAACATTAGGTAACTCTGGGAAGGATCTAAAATAGCACCAGCAGACCATCTTGCATTCGTAATGGGTTACCATTTAACAACAAATGCTACAAAACTGGACATGCAAGTTGTTCATGTCAACACAGCATTTGTTAACTCCACCCGCCCTGCATGGCTGCCCTTGCGTGCCACAGTTTGCATTCGAACTGTTTGCTTTCACATGTTATGTAATCGTTCTCTCATGCCATCATTTGAATGTGTTTAGGGTCTCCTGCTGGTTAGCCGGTATCGTACCCATAGGGTCTGTTTGCCTCATTAAACACGCTCAAATCTCTCATTCATGGGTGTTTAATGAATAGTTTGTTTCAATGAAACCCTCGAACCCTAAAGACTGAAACTTTAGCACGTAATGCATTGCTTCATGTTGTAAGGATGCTGCCATGATAAGCAGAGATTAGCACTCACCTACAGGGCAAAACATAAAAGATTCAGCATCTCAGGGAGTATCTTTAGCTTTTTCTCTACCTCTCGAACCGTGACTGCATAGCTGGGCTCCGTTCTCATGCCAGGATGCAAACAAATAGGCCTAGACTGCGCTTATGCAGGGATATGTTGGGGAGGAGATCAGACATGTTTATCTGAATCCTTGATGCATGAATCTGTGATAAAGAAATAATTGTAGGAGGGTTAACGAATGCGAAAGGCTTGGTTTAATGGCATAAATGTGGACGAAAATGCACATGAGCCTATTTATAAACGCCTACCATGTGCGCTAATTTGAGATTTGATTTTAGAAATAGGATTAAAGCATTAAGACTGAGAAATATGTGAAGAATTTTGTATATTTTGCTGCAGAGAAACACTGGTTTGCAGCCAACTGTTTGAAATAGCATAACCTTTTTTGTTTGATTGCTTGTTTTGTAAAATAACATTCTCAGTCCCAACCCACATATTACTCCTTATTAAACGTTCTGAATCAGGAAAATGCAGACTTTTCTAATGTGCTAAACTGAAGTTGCTGTAAACAGGATTCAAAATGAACACTCAGCCACATGCACTTTCCAGTCACTTTCCATTTGTAATTTTTACACATTATAATACAATAGAATTTTTAGACACTGCTTTTTTTTAAACAATACATTAAGTATATCATTATTATTATTACTATTATTATCATTGTTGTTGTTATTCTCGCCACCAAAACTCTGTGTGTTGAGAAACATGCAATTAATTGAAATCACAACAGGGTATTCGGTTTTTGGCTGTGTTTACACTGGCACAAAAAAAAATCAGATTTTTTGATTACATCTAACACAGATCGGAATTTGTTGCACACGTGTAAACACACAAATCCGCACAAGATCCAGTTGTTTCACATCCGATCTGGGCCACTTCTGAATGTGGATTTTAATCGGATACATATCCGATATCTCGTCATCCGACCTACGTCTAAACTCACACATCCGATTCCTTTCAAAACTCCCAATGCAACACCCATAAAGATAGCGTTGTATGCGCTTGCGTTTTATTGCGATTTAAATTTATATAGGTAAAAATTATTATATCTTTATTACTACTTTTATGTTAAAAATGAGATAAATACAGTTTAAAAGCCTTAAAATATACAAGTTAAATGTTCTCCAATCACTTGACCTTGGCATGCATGGCATTAGTTAATTTTGGACCCTGGCTGTAACTTTCATTTGAATGGCTTGGTACTAATTGTCAACAATAGCCTTATTTACCATTTTACTTCCTGCATCATCCACAGTGAACTAACCCTTGTGTACTAACCCGGACAATTTCCCTCCTTGTTCTTGCACTCCACCTTTTGCCTCACACTCGCTTTCACCCAGCCTCCCGATCTCCACCGGACCCACGAGAGCCAAAACCCCCTTCTGCTTCTCCAGGTTACAGAAAAGAGAAGAATTACGACTACAATGCCCCGTACAACTCTCCTGAGCCTGACAGAAAAAGATATCCCAATAGCCGTAGTCGATATCCGGAATGTGAGCCCGTTGAGTTCAGCCGATCTAGGCATCCGGAGAGTCCGAGCAAGGGAAGGATCCTCGAGTACTACTCACCTGAGCGACGACCGAAAGAGAGAAACAAGCCTCTCGATCTTGATCATGCAGAACCACATAGAAGGAAGAAGCAAGATCAATGGGACGACCTGGAGCCAGTCGTATGCCGGAAGGAGAGGTCTCCAAGGGATTACTCTGCTGGCTGGGACAAGGAGAGGATCAGGGATCAAGAACGAGAATGGGATGGACGGAGAGCCAAGGAAAGGTCGAGAGATCGCAACCGGACAAGAAGTCAAGATCGACTGTTTAGCGGTGTTGACAGGGGCAGGAACGTGGACCGGGAGATGGACCAAAATGGACACGGTAACAGAGAGAGGCAAAGAAAACGAGGCAGAAATGGGAATAGGGGGAGGCACAGAAGCATGGAGCGAGATCTAGACGATTATGGTCTCGCCCCAACTAGAGGATGCTCAGAAGAAAGCCTGGAGTGGGAGGATCATAAGAACAGGCCGAGGCTCCCGTCAGGTCCTAATGAGGTGTTTGAGGAGCCTGTTCTCAGAGGTCCCTCAAACGAGGGCCGGTCCCCTGGTCATTCTCCCAGAGAGAGAGGTATGGCCCGAGGTCCATGTGTTTGAGTCAACCTGCTTGGACTTTGCAGTGCCATCTGGTGGTGGGAGTGCTGTCAAGATTTCCTTTTTCCTGTGCATTGGTGATTTGGGTTTCTTGTCTATTTTTTTGGACTCTCTAAAATAATTTCTGGGGAACCTTGTGCACTAAATCTGGTCCTTTCTGATCATTCCTTTCTTAGTCCCAAAACAAAAATGGTTGCTTGGGTTCTGTATGAATAGTTTGTGTGTCGTTTTTTTAATGTGGATTAACCTCCTCTGATGCCCCTTGCAGGTCGGAAGCCGCGAGGAGAATATGGCATGAAGGAGGCAACGCATGGATTGGCCCACTTAGACCTACAAGACCAGGAGCTCATAGACTTGGAGGTGGCACGCAAGCTACAGGATGAAGAAATAAAGGTACCTTGAAGTCTCGCTGGTTGTAATTAATTGGTGACTTGTAATCCACAAATCACAACTGTCTTTTTTTACAGGCGAGTCAGTTGGACAGACGAGCCGCTCAAGTTGCTCAAGATGAGGTACGGTATGGTTCGTTGTTTTTGTGCACTGTCAGGGGTGTCGCTCATCTTGTTTGTTTTACGATTTGTTTTGTGACTGTATTTTAAGGAATTAGCACGACGGCTAATAGAGGAAGAGAAAAGGGAAATTAAGAGATCGAGAGATAAGGAGAAACAAGCGATGGAGAGACGACGGCCTGAGGTGGAATATAAGGTAAGCAACATCTATTCCAACTAAGCGTAGTTCTAGTCTTGAATGCTGGTCGGTCAATAGAGTGATCCATCCTCCCTTTAAAACCTTATTTTTGGAGATTGATAAATATTTACATGTAAATAATAAACCTATATATGTGTGTGTGTGTATTAATGTATATTATTTGTTAGTTTATATGTATTTAACTATGTTTATGAAATAATAAATACAAAATAGATATTAATATAAATTAGTGCTTAAATCTCTTGAAAAAAAAAGTGTTACATTTTGTGTGAATTTTTTGCAAATAATGATTGAAAATTAGTGTGGAACCTTTAGAAAATTTTTGCTTTGTTTTTTTTTTCTCTTTTGTTTTTGTTTTTTTGCATTGCGTTGCATTTCTTCGCTTTTTATTTGTTGTTTTGCTTTTGTTTTGTTTGTTTTGCCATTTAACCAAGTCTGTTACTACAAGAAAATACAGTTTAAATACAGTTCATCAAACTGTCTGAACACCGTTTTAAAGCATTTGTTTGTTTTAGCAATTATTTATTTTTAACAAAAAATAACAGAAATATTAATGGATAATAAATATGAATAAATGCATTCTATTTACTCTACTACTACATACTCTAAACTAAGTTCTATATAAATGAATAAGTTATATATAATACATTAAATGTTAGTATAGATATTTTATTTTATGGTTATATTAATAGTAATATAGTTATTTGGTAATTTATGGTTATATTAGGTTATATTTAGGTTAGTAAATGGTTATATTAATAGTAATATATAAAAAGTAATTTAGATTTTGAAATTATGGTAGCAAGAACATTGCAACAGTGTCAGTGAAATTTTAATGGAACTATTAATGTAATGTTAATGTAGTGGCCTTTGAAATTCATGTATTAGATATGACACATGTTCAAGCAGGTTAAATGGACAATATATTACCTGCTAATGCTGTTAAAACCCACATTATTCAATGTATTCTTGGTGACGTTGACCCTGTCGACATTACTGACACTCTTTTCGCTTCTGTCACCGTTAGCCAGTGCAAGAAGAAGTAGTACGACCACGAGCGCGAGAAGAGCCGCGCATCAGAGAGGACGAGTACCAGAGAGCACGCAACCACAAACCCGCCAGGTACCACATCTCAACTCATTAACACACTCACGCTGTCAGAAGTCCTGCTGGAGCCTCATGTTCCTCTCGGTTCTTCTCTCCAGGCCGCCGCCTCCTACACAGCACTACGAGAACGTGAACCCGAGCTACGCATTTGCGGACCCGTACTCCCCTCGCCCTCCATCAAGACCAGAGGCGGCGTACAAAGGTTCACATTGCACTAATGAGATATCATGCTTTAAAGGTGCTGTATGTAGGACTGACACCAAGTGGTTGAACTAGGTATTGCAGTCCAAATTCAAAATATTGGAGAGGGTTTTTTTCACCCGGCCCCTCCTCCTCAGACTTGACTCACACGCAGGTTGCCAGATTGACGGCACCAACAGGAACGAGCGCACTTGACGATGAATGAAATTAAATACGCTGTGTTTTCCGCCAACTGGTAACCCGGGGTCCCGAAATACAATTGGGTAAACTGGCAGTGGGCGGGTTTCACAAACCAAAACAGATACCGACATTCCGGCCCGGAACGCACATTTTCAAAGGAGAATAACTGACTGTAGCATTGTTTTTCAGATAAACAAGTATGTTAACTTAGCATGTTTCTTAAATATCTGCAAACATATTTTGGTATTTTTATGCTTCAGTAGAGTCAAAAACTTACATACAGCACCTTTAAATTCGAATAACTTTTTAAATGTGGCCGTCTGTTTCTCCTTATCTCCTTTTAGGTGCCTACTACAGACAGTGACCATAAGCCTCCACTGCTGTCCAATCATGAGTCCGTTCGGCCCTTTATTTTGCGAATCAGTTGAGGAGAAGTGATTCAGAAATACTTTGAGGCTTTCGGCAGAAGCTACTGACACTTTATTTTATTTTTCCCTCTTGGGTTCATCGCATCAGATGAGCCGACGTTGTCTCTTCGTGTTGTGAAAGAGTCTTTTACCCTGGAGCTACGAACTACTGGGTGACAGGGACAGTTCCTGTTTGCTTCTCATGTTCTTGTCTTATTGTGGATGACTGGACAGGAAGGGATCTACTGCACAGCTCTCTCAAATATCCCTTTTCTCTTGGCGTCTATAATGAAGCTTCGTCTCGATTCCATGTGGAGTTCAGGATACAACGGTTTTCCACTTTTTCGTTGGTTTTATTTAACGAAAACATGCTTGAATTTATATACAGCACACTTTGGTGCTATATATTTATTGATTTATTTTGAGAGGATATATTTAGTTTTATTTTATGATTCGTGTTTTAAAACGCTGATTGTTTTACCCTTTCCCCAATCAATCTGAAGAGACTGTTAGCTTAAACCAGGAGCGATCCAATTTCTGGAGATGCAAAATTCTACATATCTCAACGTCTTAAGAAGCAGGTATCAAGGTGAGGTTGTCAGCGCTTCTTCATTTTGCATTCATATCATTCATGAGACTCTTTACTCACACTGCGGGCTCATGTACAGCTAGGGTTCGAGACGCTCAGCCTTCGGGTGCCTTTGTTTTTGTGCTATTTCCCCCTTCACCTGCAGTGTCCGTAGCGATTCTCTCATCTTCTTCGTAGATGCTTCAGGACCTACAGTACTAATATGCTCCAGTGTTCAAGTGCATGCTGGCTGAATGTGAACTCTATGGGGTCTATATGAATCTTGTCCAAAAAATGGCCACAAACACATCTCTACTCCTCATTTTTTATTTTTTAAATATTTTTTTAGGTTTTATTTATAATTCAATACAAATCCAAAATACTAGTTTTAAGGCATGTAGTAGCATTGCTGTTGGCACAGACGTAAACAGTTTTCTCGCTTGCTGCATCATATGCAATTCATGCTAATATATCAGTGTTCAGATTTGCAGCGCTTTGCATTTGGTGGCAAACTTACTTTAAGCAGGGACATAAAAACTGACCAGCAAACAGACCAAAGCAGCAAACAAGTGACTATGGCGTTTATCTGGCACTTTCTATAAATAGAGTACAAAATAGGGCCTGAAACTTTTGGGGAGAAACTCTGTTTTTCAGCAAAAGATCAGTGACTTTTTTTTTTATTTATTTTTTTTACTTATTACTTTTAGAACTTGTTTAAATCAATTTAAAAACCTCATTTGTCCAATTTTTATTTTTAGCAATTGTTTATTTCTTACAGAGAGCATAAAATAAACTGATTACAAAATTTTTAAAATGTCTAAACTAAAAATATACAAAAACTAATTTGGTTGGAGTTTGCTAATTTGGGACAAATTACGCAAAAATTATCAATAAAAATAAGTGTGCAACCTTCAGAAAAGTTGTTTTGCTTTGCTTTTTTGTTTGCTTTCTGTTTTCCGCTGCATTTCTTTGTTGTTGTTTTTTGTGTGTGTGTGTTTGTTTTTTGTTTTGCATTGCTTTTCTTTGATTTTTGTTTGTTTTCTGTTTTCCACTGCATTTGTTTTTTGTTTGTTTTTTATTATTTATTTTTGCATTGCTGCTCTTTGCTTTTTGTTTGTTCTGTTGCTGTGGTTTGTATAGTTTGTTTTTGTTTTGTTTTGCAGTTTAAGCAAATCTGTCACCATAATTTTGGTCTTTTACATTGTGTAAATACAATGTAAAAACAATGTGTGGGTGTTTTTTTGGCAATTGCTTTTTTCTAGCAAAAAGAAAGAAAACATTTTTTTTTTTAAAGTATAGACAAACTGTTGCACATTTTGCCTAAATTAATTTATAATTCGGTTAGAGCTCACTAGTTGGGGACCAAAAACCAATTGTTTTTTTAGTAATTAAAATAGATTTAACAGTATTATGATGCTTTTGTGTGATATAAAATCATTTGATGTTTTTAATACAAGCTATAAAATAATTTATCGAGTTTATCTAATAGTTTACTCCCAAGAACAATTTTTTTTTAATTTATTGTTTGAAAAAGACCAATTTGTACCCTGTTTATGGAAAGTGCCACATGCTCCTCACTCTATCAGGGCTTTTTTTTTTCCCCCTTACTGATCGGTCATCGCTTACATTCCATATTCCTGTCAAAATGCGTTTTAAAGGGATTAAATTCCGCTTGGCTTTTGGGAATGAGAATATGATTGTGTGGGCTACATGTAGCATCCTGTACAGATACAACTAAAGACAGCAGCTACTTTTTGTATCGCATTAGTGCCTCTATAAGACCAGTGTTCGATCGCTAGTGCTGAACGCTCCCATCTTTTGCTCTCGAGAATGACAATATGCTAGTGTCGGTGCATTCCAATGAAAGGCATGGCCTGAGATGCATCCAATAAACTTGTAGGGAAAATATCTTCTGTTGCCATGCTGCTATGCTTAATAGGTGATTTAAGAACATTTTCTTGTGGAATTGTATTACTGAATCAGTTTTGAATCACTTAACGTGTGTTTTAGTGATGAATGTGCATATATATATATCTCTCTTTCAGTGCTGTGTCAATCTAGCGCATATCACGGTGCATTTTGCGGTGCGCTGTAGTATTTGAAAACATAATTGTACTTTACAATTCTGATACTAATTGGCTGGATGGGCTTTGTGCCAAATGTCATTCAACATTCAGGGATTTTAAAAAAGTATTGCTGTAAAACTGTCAATATCTGATGGTCATGCGATTTGAGGGACAAACAACTGGGTTACAAATGTTTTGCTTGAGGCTGTACACAAACAAACTGAACTTTTAGCACCTGATATGCCGTTGTAAATGTATGTGTGTGTGTGACGGAGCGACAGAAACGAGCATTTTTGACTCAATATATATATATATATATATATATATATATAATATTGGTAAATATTTTAGTATAATATATAAAAGGATCATTAAAAAGAAGTGTAACCTTCAGAAAAATTTGTTTGATTTGTATTGCACTTATTTGCTTTTTGTTAATTTGCTTGTTTTTTGTTTTGCCCTTTAAGCAAACCCGTCACAACAATGCATAACTTCTAAATACAATTGAAAAATGATTAGTCTGATTTCTGTTATTTTTTAGCAATGGTTTATTTCTTACAGAAAACATTAAATAAACTACTTACTTGAATAAATAAATAAATAAAATGGATGAAAAACAAAAAAAATACGGAAGAACCATGTTGCAAATTGTGCCTAAATTAATAATTTGGCTGGAGCTAGCAGGTTTGGGACCATAATATAGCTTTATTTTATTATGCATTTATTCATAAAGCAAAGGGTAAGTGAAAATAAGTGAGTAACCTTATGATCACAAACATTTAAAAGGCTTAAATTCTTCCAAGGCATAGAAGTTTTATGCTTAAGTTGAGACTTATTTTAAAATAACTTTAAAATGTTTTTTTTTCCACTTTCATTTTATGGTCATGTGACTGAACAGGAAATGATATCACAGAGGCAACCCTGACAGACCTCCTTGCTCAAGTTTGTAAATATTTTTATTAAAATAATGGTTTTATGTACTTATTTGTTATTCATGGTCACGGTCTAACAGTGGTTACAACACTTTGTCATTAGCCTAAATCAAAAACGGGTTTTAAAACACATGGAACCATCATGAATATACAGCTTACATTCACAGCTTCAATATTTTTGTTTCTTATCTTCGTCATTGACCCTTAACAATTCCATAAAACATCCCAACCCAAGACAACAGCAATTACATAGAAACTTTCAAATGAATGGCTATAAATGATGAAATGCAAATTCTGGTGTGGTGATTTTCTGCATAAAGGCCTCAATTACAAATGAATGAACTAACTTGTAGGGAAAATATCTTCTGTTGCCATGCTGCTATGCTTAATAGGTGATTTAAGAACATTTTCTTGTGGAATTGTATTACTGAATCAGTTTTGAATCACTTAACGTGTGTTTTAGTGATGAATGTGCATATATATATATCTCTCTTTCAGTGCTGTGTCAATCTAGCGCATATCACGGTGCATTTTGCGGTGCGCTGTAGTATTTGAAAACATAATTGTACTTTACAATTCTGATACTAATTGGCTGGATGGGCTTTGTGCCAAATGTCATTCAACATTCAGGGATTTTAAAAAAGTATTGCTGTAAAACTGTCAATATCTGATGGTCATGCGATTTGAGGGACAAACAACTGGGTTACAAATGTTTTGCTTGAGGCTGTACACAAACAAACTGAACTTTTAGCACCTGATATGCCGTTGTAAATGTATGTGTGTGTGTGACGGAGCGACAGAAACGAGCATTTTTGACTCAACGTAAGATGACGTTCATGCCAGTTTGTTTTACAATCATTTGCTGCTGGAAACGTTTTGTGACCGGCGAAAGTGTTTGTATCCCCAACCCAAGACAACAGCAATTACATAGAAACTTTCAAATGAATGGCTATAAATGATGAAATGCAAATTCTGGTGTGGTGATTTTCTGCATAAAGGCCTCAATTACAAATGAATGAGGAAGTGTAAATGCCAACAGCTGCCTTTCCTGGGCAGGTTCACCTACATGCCAAAGATGTTCACGGTTACTTGCGAGTGTAAACGGTGCAGATCCTCACATGTGACAGACGCGCTCTCCTGTGCTTCTGCCTCGCTTTCCTTGCGCTCTACTGCCATCCAGTGCCAAAAAAAAAAAAGTGTACAAGTGTGTGCCATACATTACAGAATTACACCATTTTCTACTTGGGATTGTGAATATGATTCAAGGCGCTCCGTGGTTAGAAGCTGAATATCTGCAGCGCCCACTACTAGAAACAATGACTGAAATCCTGCTGCTCATCTCAGCCACGATTCCTAGCAATGTGCACTGCAGGTCAGAAACTCCAGGTTTTATGCAACATCTGAAATAAAACAGGAGTATATTTCTGAAATTGCATCCACATTAATAGAACCTAATAGCTTTAACAGGAAATGATCTTTGAGCCTCAGTGCTTAATATTAAATTTCAAGCAGTAGCCAAGCTATCTTGCAGTGTGCAATAATTTAGCAAAAACTTTCGGTTTTATTTCAACATGTATATTATAAAAACGCTTTCAATCTTAATACAATTTTCACAGTTTGTGTAAAATAATCATACATGCTTTATTACATATGGAATATTTGCAGGCTACTTTTAAAATGGATTAATCGCATTGAAAATTCAACAAATGCAGTGAAATACAACAATTAAAAGTAAATTAGAGATTTATTGATAAATGGGTACTGTGCTATACCTAAATTACATATTCAAATACTTTCGATGTTAAATGTACCCTAACTATTAGAATTGTCGTTTGAATTGTCACATGTTAGCTAAATCAATTAATTTATAGTAGCCTATTAAAAATATAGTATTAGTCTACTATATCAAAAATATTATTTAAAAAAATAACAAAGTATTAAACTACGGATGCCTTTGAGTCTTTTTTTTTTTGTTAAATCTGAGAAAAAATAATTGAAAATCACGTTGTTTACTATTTTTCAGATAGATAAGAGTCTTTAAAAACAAGACAGCAGCGTTTTTAAAAGGTGAACTTGTCACGCCATCTTAAAAACGTATCGCACTGTGAGACGCGACACAACTACCACACTGGTGCATGTGAGAGGTGTTTATGTGTAAAAACCACGAAGGACCGCAAGAACGCGCCATACGTGAACACCTAAGCGGTGTATTGAACTGTAAGTTGACATTTTTATCGTATTTAATACCACATTGAACTACACTTTACTTAAAGTGTCTGTCAGTAACGCAAACTGCTCCCCTCAGTAATAATGACAGTTGCTTACCTGAGAGAAACGGTCCAAGCGCTCGTCTCGTCTCGAAACATGGGTATCTACACACCCAATACTCAGCGCTGACAACCTCCGAACGGTTTCAAAGCGTTCCCCTCGACACTTTCTCCTAAAAGTGTCAGCGAGGTTTAGGTGTGTCGGCGCGCAGGTGTGAATGTAGCTCTATAGGCTTTGCTTTAATTCTCGTCATTTACCCTTTTTGGGCCGATAAGCCTGCGGCACATCTTCAGGAAAAACCGGTACAGGTGGTCACATGAGGGTGTGTCGAGTCAGTGCTAATTAAACTCAAACAGGTTGGATATGCGTGTAAAAACATATTCTGTTGAATAAAAAAATAAATACCGATCAGGCTACTTGAAAATAAGTCCAACCTGTTGGTTATTTTGCTTTTTGCAGAGAGTCGAACTCGAGTCCTACTTAAAGCTGAAGTGTGTGACGTTAAAATAGTTTTTTTCTCATCTTAATATGCAGAGGGAACTATAAATGTGATTATTTTTAGGTTGATTTTACCAAAAAAACGTGTCAAATCTGTGACACTGTTTATCTGCCATTTTTATAGTAGGGCCTACAAGTAGCCTGCAAGTAAAATACTGTAGTGCAAGTACTGCTCCCTCAGAAAATCCCTCATATAAACTCCACATTTGAATAGTGTTATGCGTGTGATTTAAAAAGAGAGAAAGCTACATACATTCCCATAGTTATGTGTCGTTGGGCCTCAGGCTGTGTTTCCAGGAATGACATCTGACAGGTTTGAGAGCGGCGGTCCTAGGGCACATGCTGGGACTTATGACATGAAAGCGTAACTGATGTTTGAAGGTTTAGCCGGCTGCACTTTATAATATCTTTAGTACATAATATTATTGTGATATACGGTGAATTTATGTAAATTGGGACACTTTTTGCCATTGAGGTGACTTGGGGTAAAATGGCTTAATTATCCTGAATTAACCCTGTGCTTGATGGGAATGTCTAATGATACAACTGACGTAAAATCAAATATTTAAAAATGTCAAATATTGAATAATTATTATATAAATGGTATTAATGTAATATATTAAGTAGCTATATTTATACTTTATATATTTTTTAATTATAGTTAAATTTATTTCATTAGCATTTGTGCAACTTAATAGTTTTAAATAAAGTAAATAAAATAAATATGTTATTCTAAACTATATAAGTCAACCTATATTGACATTTTTGTTACTTATATTTTTGGACTGGATTTTAGTGGATTCTTAAAGCTTGAGCATTTGAAGTGGCATAGGATAAAATATAACTAATAATAAAATATCTGTTGGTGTGGACCCCACTATAGTTTTTGTTCTATGTATTAACAGGTCTTTAGTTGTATAATATGAGTCATTTTCATCCACTCTCAAATATGCAGATTTTTATAATGCTTGCCTAGAGGGATAGTTCACCCAAAAATGATTTACTCACCCTCGTGTCGTTCCAATCCTGTATGGGTCTGTATGAGCACAGAAAAAAATATTTAAAAAAGAATGTTGGTAACCAAACAGTTGATGGTAGCCATTGACTTCATACTGTAAATAAATAAATCAAGAAATGCTATGGAAGTCAATCTCTACCTCAACCGTTTGGTTTCCAACATTCTTCAAAGCATCTTCTTTTGTGCTTAACGGAAGAAAGAAATGCATACAGGTTTGGAACAAGTGGAAGGTGAGTAAATGATGACAGAATTTTCATTTTTGGATGGAACTAATTCAAGAGAGAACTGATAATGTGCTTTCAATCAGACAGTATAGGGAAGAACCACAAGATGGCACTAGATTTTATCATTATGCACTATTAATATGTTTTTTAAAAGACCTTTTACAACTTTACATGAATGGGATTTCAAATCATGTAGCTTATTGAGGAGACATGTGCTACTTTCCAACAGAATGAAATCGCAATGTATTACAGCAATACATGACTCCTGCGATGAAACTAAATAGTGTGTTTGTACAGTCATCATCTTGAGGAATACATTTTTGTGCCAGAGCCAAAGCATACAGTACATCTGCACTTGTATTTATGGCATGTTTTCTTTCTTTCTGTTTCTTAAAACTCATTTTCCTCCTAATGTCACACTTACAAGTTTTGCATGCGTTTGAACAAAAAGCAGTTGTTCACTTTTTGAAACCTTTATTTTTAAGGTGTTTTACAAAAATACACGTTTAACAACGGATTTAAAAGGCATTTTAAAAACTTTCCCAGTTTATTGTAATTGAACCTTCACATAACAAAAAGAAAGTTGAAATCGGATTCAAAAAAAAAAAAACAACAACCCTGCAACGTAACATCTTATGAAATATGCATATATACTGCCTGGCGGTCAAAAGTTTGGTATGATTATTATTATTTATTTATTTTTTTGGAAAGAAGTCTCTTATGCTCACCAAAGCTGCATTTCTTTAATCAATACCACAGTAAAAACAGTAATAATGCGAAATATCTATTTGCTGTATTCTATTTGAATATGGTTAAAATGTAATTTATTCCTGTGATGCAAATCTGAATTTTCAGCATCAATACTCCAGTCTCCATTGTCACATGATCTTTCAGAAATCAGAAAATACTACCATTCAATGGTTTGGGTTATGTTTAAAAAAAAAACAAAAAAAACATGAAAATGCCTCTAAATAAAATAAACCATTTTTTTTCAACAGTAGTATTAGTCACTGTTACGATTAGTGGATGACATGAACTTCCCGACATATTAGTGTCTATTCTCCCACTAACCCACCCATTTGTTTCCTGTTACAATCACGAGCCAAAAAGAGGAGGGAACATGATTATGAATGGAAACGATAAATATATCTTTTGGATTTGTCTGAGTAAATAGGTGTGAAACAAACTGTAAGATTGATCAAGATCACGATGCATTAATCATCAGAAGGAATGTGCTGATTTATGCAGTTTGGATGTCAACACGTCCTTTCACATGAAACGTTACTCATCGCTTTCCTCCTTCATGTTAGTACATCAAAATAAAAATGTTACAGTTTATTTATCCGGATTGACAGATTTTAAGGGTATTGAACCAACAACCTTCTGTTTTCCAACCCAAAACTTCGACTGCTACTTCACACCTATAACTAGAGAAGTTCAAGCTAGATTTTTCCAATCAAAAAGCGTCTACTTTCAAGGAAATCTGACCCAATGTCCTGTCCACGAATGACATGACGGTTGATTCACACCTACTCGCATGATAATAAATAGCAGCCTGGATTTCTCAGCTTGCATTACAGTACAGTGGACACATACACTATTACTGACTGAAAACTGCATTCGTCTTCTAATCCATCCATGGCTCTTCAGCTCATTGGTTATATTCTGTCCATTACTGGATCATGTGGCCTCATTATAGGCACATTTACGAATGAATGGGAAATCCTTGGACATGACAACGACAAGACTGTGATTCTGGACAAATACAAAGGACTGTGGATGGAGTGCTCAGTGGACAGTTCGTCTCACGTGCGCTGCACAAGTTACAATTCTCTTCTTCACCAGACCTGTGAGTATCTGTCCTGTGGATTATGGATCCTTCTGCCATTGACTTCTGTTGTAATCGCTGCTGTGTGTTGTTGCAGTTGAAATCCGGGTGGGCCGAGCAATCATGATCGCCAGCATCGTCTTTTCAAGCCTCGCCGCGCTGGTGGCCATTTCTGGTCTCAGATGTACAAGATGTTTAGAAGAGAACGAGAAGTCGAAGGATAGAGCTGCCTTCTTAGGAGGAATCCTTTCTGTGTGCGGTGGTGAGTTCAAAAAGTTCGCAAATAAACTGGAGCTAGAAACTGGAGTGAAAACTATTTTTATTTTTTTTATCCTATCAAAAATTCTTTTGAGTTGAAACTCGTATAGGCTATATTGTATTTCTAGGTTGTTACTTGAATGTTAAAAGCAACTAATTTAATATTTCTTTGAAAATACATGCATTGATGATTGGAAAGTTTAAATGAACAGCATTTATTTGCTGAATACAAATACCATTTTTTTTAAAAGAAATTATTTTTATTCAGCAAGGATGCATTAAATTGATCAAATAGTGACAGCAAAGACATTTATAATGTTGCAAAAGATTTTTATTTCAACTAAAAAAATTCTTTTGAACTTTCTATTTTTCAAAGACGAATAAAAATACTCCTCATTTTACATATACACTAACGTTTTATAATTTTAAAGAAAGTAATACTTTTGTTCAGCAAGGATGCATTAATTTAACCACAAGTAACAGTGAAGACATTATATTGTTACAAAAGATTTTTATTTCAAATAAATTATTGTATTAGTCAAAGCTGGATATACTATATTTTACATATACACTGCCTTTTAAAAACTGCATTAAACTAGTCAAAAAATTACAGCAAAGACATTTTACAAAAGATCTTTATTTCAAATAAATAAACTCTTTTGAACTTTCTTTTTCTCAAAGACAAATAAAAATACTAGATATTTTACATATACACTACCATTCAGAAGTTTAGTTTTTTTGTTTTTTTAATTTTAAAGAAATTAATACTTTTAAGCAAGAATGCGTTAAATTGACTGAAACTAACAGTTAAGACATAATAATGTTACAACAGTTTTTTATTTCATATAAATTCTTCTGAACCTTCTAAAAAAATCTTCAAAAAAAAGTAAAATGATTTCTATAAAATTAGTAAGCAGCACAACTGTTTTCAAAATGGATGATAATAATAATAATAATAAATGTTACTTGAGCAGCAAATCAGCATATTAGAATGATTTCTGAACTGGAGTAATCATGCCAAAATTTCAACTTATATTTAAAATAATACAATTGCCTCTAATCTCCTCTACATTTAGAATTAAGTGAATTATGCGCATTCTTCTTTCCTAACCAGGTCTTCTTGCTTTGGGCATAACCAGCTGGTTTATATATGGAATTGTTGAAGATTTCTTTCAGAATGACACCGAGACGGAGAGGTAGGTGTTGTTCTGTTTCGTATTGTTTCTAATATTCATTAGATTCAATGATTCAGTGGCCTTTTGGAATCTAAATACTGACTATCTGAGGGTCTTTGCAGGTATGTGGTCGGCAGATCTCTGATTGGTGCATTTGTTGCATCTGTGCTTTGTTTATTCGGAGGCATTCTCTTATGCGCCTGCAGCGTGACGCATCTACAATCCAACAAAATTCTCAGCAAGCATCCGGTCTCCAGGAATCCTGAAAAAGACTATGTTTAATGATCCTGAGACCATCTCAATACCTACACTTCACCTGAATGTCAGACACCGGTTAAATGTTGTGTATGTGCATGAAAGAAAATGACAGTAATAAACTATTTTATAGTCATTTTTAAAAAATGATATATTATATCTAATTATATGTTATTGTTCTTTTTACTAACCGATATCCATATGATTTAACCACTTTTAATGTATGTTTAGATGTTTGTGAGTCAATTTAGCTATTAGAAAACTAGAAGGCTGGGATTGCTTCAGAGTTGACCACAGAGGAAGATTATGTCATATCCCAGTCATAGCTTTACAGTCAATGTGGGGATATTTGTACTATTTTAAGGTATTTTTAAAGATGAAGAATATTCTAAGCTGTGATGTAGTGTAGAATATATGTCAATGCAAGATTAAGACCGCTTCAGCATTTCATGCTTGTCTGTTTTAGGATTAAATCATTTCAGTACTTTATCTATTTATTATTATTATAAATGCTTACTATCACCACATGCACTTGGTTGTTAACCCTGCTTGTAACCGCTGAATGAGATTTTCCTCCTTCTATTTCCTTAGTGTTTTTAGCCCTCTTACCCTACAACATCAAACTATTTTAATACCAGGTCACTTCACGTTCGTTTTGAAATAGATTTAATATCTATGAATGTGTCATCTTGTATAGTCAGGCAAAAATAATGTCACCACATTTTGTAACCCTAATATTTATACACGAATTAGGCCTATATTACGCTGCTCTCTGAAACGGACTCTAACTGTGGAAGTAAACAAATACTTAACTGTATTTTTGATCCTTCTTTACAGCAATATACCAGTAGTAGTAGTCAGAGGCGGACAGTAAGTACATTTACTTGAGTATTGTACTTAAGTACTTTTAAAAGCAAGTACTTCTGTACTTTTACTTAAGTAAAAATCTGTCTTTACAACTTTTACTTGTAATGGAGTAATGTTTGACCAGCAGTATCTGTACTTTCACTCAAGTAACGGAGTTGTGTACTTTGTCCGTCTCTGGTAGTAGTAGTAGTAGTCTACTTTCATGTCTTATATCACTCCGTGATGCTGAGAAAGTTTGAATGTCTTACTGGCGCCACCTTGCGACTCGAATGGTTACTACTTATAATCATAAATAATATCTTAATATTCATTGTAATATACATTGAGAATAATACTATTAGTCTGTTGAAGCAAGAAAACAAAAACATGGTTAGAAAGAACGACAGTAAGTTGGAAACGTTTTTTTTTTTTTTTAAGTTATTTTCTTTTCACAACCCTTACGAAAAAGAAGTTTATTCAAGTGTGCTATTAGTATATTTCTTTTAAACTAAAAATAGGAAAGTATACTTTTAGTCTACTTTTTATGTACTTCTCAGAAATGGGCTTTATGTACTTAAAAAATATACTTGAACTTTACTTAAGTATACTTACTAAAATAAACTTGAAGTATACTACTTTTTGGTAAGGGAAATTACAAATGGCGTGCAGGAAATGATCTTAATGAAAGTTACTCAATTAAAATAGCCTAACTACTCAGAAGTATGGCTTTGACAGCCCTACACAGTCAAATAAAAGGCCGTGGTCAGTAGGTTTGTAGGGTGTGAAATCTTAACGCTGTATAACCTGTAAACAATCCACACTAAACATAGATAAAGGCCTCGCTGGAGGGAGCGCTTGAGATGAGAGGTCAATCTTCCTTGGGTTGTTTTTGCGGCGGGATTTTGTAAAAGTGGAGGCGTTTCATTTGGCGGCAAGTCTGTCAAAAATTCCGAAACTGTCTCTTATACAATGCTTAAAATAGATTGACGTTGTTGCAAAATATTTGCAAAATTAGCGGGAGCTTTAACACCTGACTGTATTATCCCTTATACTCATTTACTTATTTAAAAATGTTTTTAGTCAAACAATAGCGTTTGATGTTGTATTGGTTGATATAAACGTTATTGAATATTGTGGAATTTCAGGAGCGCTGCAGTATGATTTCTATCCTCTAGAGGGAGATGTTGAAGCGGCGACAGGAGGTCTTCGCTTTCGAGGGCTTTGTGAGAATCATCTCACTAGAAAGTCATGTCTGTGAATCAGTGTAGCCTATTGTCTGTAATAGAGACAAGACAAGTTTTTTTTTAGTACTTCTTTAAGTTCTAAATTTCAGAAGCACTAATATGTCGTTGCGCAAAAAAAAAATAAAACGTCAGACAGCCGTCATGTTAAACAATTGTTATTTCCTTCTTGTGTGGGCTGTAGGGGAGGAGTCTGCACAGAATGGATGGGAGGGACGGGGGTCATTGCTAAAAATGTCCCCAGTAATCGGTCATTCATTATGAGTGACAACGAAACTGCCTCGAAGCTTAGAACGGTAGTTAAGCCGTCGCTTTCATTAGCCTGTTTCCTCTGTAACATCCACTAGACCCGCCGGGACTGTGTTTATTCATCACTCTCAGAGCGCATTATTTTGCGCACTATTACGCAGCAGCTCCAGAAGATGGATGTGAACTCCAAAATCTACGGCTTTTTGACATGTATCCTCCAGGCACTTCTGCTGTCATCGGCCACCCTGGAACCGTTCGACCTGCTTCATGATAACGGAGTGGAGGCTTTTTATAAAGGAGACTATGGCAATGTGGTGCGGTACATGGAGAGCGCGCTGAAGAGTTTCTCTGAAGTGCGCCAGACCAGAATCAGATGCAGGCTGAAATGCAGTGACCAGCATCGCTTTGACAGCTTTCTGACTGATAAGATTTTTGAAGTGATCCTCTATAGAGGGCATTGTTTAAATCAATGCATTGAGGGAAAGATTGGAGCCCAATCCATGCATAAAATTAGCGAGGATGCCATTCAAGATTTCAATCGAAGAATTCCCTATAACTACCTGCAACTTGCCTACAGAAAAGTGAGTACAAGTTTTATAGACGTGGCAGAGCAAGGTTCCATACAGTGTACAGTGAGGTGCCCACATAGTATTTTGGGCATCATGTGAGCACATTTCTGAGCATCAATATATATCTGTTCGAACGTTCGAATTGAACATTGTGCGTTCGAATGAAACGCGTTGAATGTCAAATCGAACGTTTGAATCAAACGTTTTGTCATTTATGTTCAAAAAATCGAACATTTTTAGTCAACGTTATGCATGTTCAGGTCATTCAAATCGATCATCTCGGCGTGTTCATTTATGTTTGGATCAAATGTTTATGCTTGTTATATTCGAACGTTCAAATTAAACCGGTCAAAAGCGCCTATGCTGGCCAGTTGTCTGTGTAGGCAGCAGCTCACACGCTTTTGACACACCGCCTTCGTTTTCTGCTAGTCGCCCTCGTAAATAAATTAAAATTGAAATTTGTGGTACGAAATGCTCGTTACGCAATTCTGAGAGCTACTGTAGCAGAGGAATATGGAGTCAAAATAATGCCACATATATATGCAAAATAATACATTTTTGCAAAAGAAAATACAATTTTGCAAAAGAAAATAAAGTTTTGCAAACGAAAATAAAGTTTTGCAAACGAAAATAAAAGTATTGAGAAAAAATAAATGTGTTTTTGCAAACAAAAATAAAGAATTGCAAAAGAAAATGAAGTATTGCGAGCGCCCCCGTCCCTTGACTCCACTCCCATGTCAAAACAGTGCCAGAAAGCGAGACGCGCAGAAACGTGAAGCGCAAAGGGAAAACGGTATCGCAAGCTCAAACTTGACTGAAACGCAAAATAAAAGCAGCGTTGCAAATAAATTAGTAGATATGGCCATGGAAAATATGTATTGCAAAATCATTGCTTTTGTGCTGTTTCATTTATATTTTGCAATTCTTTATTTTTGTTTGCAAAACTTCTTTTTTTCTCGCAATACTTCATTTTCTTTTGCAATTCTTTATTTTTGTTTGCAAAAACACATTTATTTTTTCTCAATACTTTTATTTTCTTTTGCAAAACTTTATTTTCTTTTGCAAAACTTTATTATTTTGCATATATATGTGGCATTATTTTGACTCCATAGAGGAAAACTCTAGAAAGTTTGTGTCTGCAGGTCTCACCTTCAAACGATTCACATGCATTTTAGTCCTCCCCCAACCTAATGTTACAAGTGGCGCAGGGTTTAAAGTGTGCGATACGTAACTGCAAAGAGAGGCCAAACACAGTTTTTGACTATTAAAGCCAAAAAATAGTTCCTGCAAAATACCATCGTAAGTAAAGTTGTAAATCTGTGGTAATGTTATATTAGCCACTTTCACAAACCACTAAATCAAGAATATTATACAAAACAACAAAAAGATTCTGTAAGCTTCTTTAATCAATGAAAAAAAATATTTTACAGGTTTACAGATATTACAACATTTGTAGAAGTTTTTACATAATATTTCAGTTTCTTTCCACATGCGATTTCATTTTTTTTATGCTTTTTTCTTTCAGTTTTTGTGGAAACTATATTACCATAGTAAATGTTGTGAGGTAGTTGATACCTTTTAGGGTTTTTAGCAGGCTGTCAGGGTCATATTGTAAATACAGAGCTTTGATGTTTTAAAGGAATATTTCAACCAAAAATGAGAATTTGCTGAAAACTTACTCACCCTTAAGTCATCCAAGATGTAGATGAGTTTATTTCTTAATGGGAACAGATCTGGAGACCTTTAGCATTTCATCACTTGCTCACCAGTGGATCCTAAGTGAATGGGTGCCGTCAGAATGAGAGTCCAAACTGTTGTACACGCCCCCGTCCCTTGACTCCACCCCCATGTCAAAACAGTGCCAGAAAGCGAGACGCGCAGAAACGTGAAGCGCAAAGGGAAAACGGTATCGCAAGCTCAAACTTGACTGAAACGCAAAATAAAAGCAGCGTTGCAAATAAATTAGTAGATATGGCCATGGAAAATATGTCTTGCAAAATCATTGCTTTTGTGCTGTTTCATTTATATTTTGCAATTCTTTATTTTTGTTTGCAAAACTTCTTTTTTTCTCGCAATACTTCATTTTCTTTTGCAATTCTTTATTTTTGTTTGCAAAACTTCTTTTTTTCTCGCAATACTTCATTTTCTTTTGCAATTCTTTATTTTTGTTTGCAAAAACACATTTATTTTTTCTCAATACTTTTATTTTCTTTTGCAAAACTTTATTTTCTTTTGCAAAACTTTATTATTTTGCATATATATGTGGCATTATTTTGACTCCATAGAGGAAAACTCTAGAAAGTTTGTGTCTGCAGGTCTCACCTTCAAACGATTCACATGCATTTTAGTCCTCCCCCAACCTAATGTTACAAGTGGCGCAGGGTTTAAAGTGTGCGATACGTAACTGCAAAGAGAGGCCAAACACAGTTTTTGACTATTAAAGCCAAAAAATAGTTCCTGCAAAATACCATCGTAAGTAAAGTTGTAAATCTGTGGTAATGTTATATTAGCCACTTTCACAAACCACTAAATCAAGAATATTATACAAAACAACAAAAAGATTCTGTAAGCTTCTTTAATCAATGAAAAAAAATATTTTACAGGTTTACAGATATTACAACATTTGTAGAAGTTTTTACATAATATTTCAGTTTCTTTCCACATGCGATTTCATTTTTTTTATGCTTTTTTCTTTCAGTTTTTGTGGAAACTATATTACCATAGTAAATGTTGTGAGGTAGTTGATACCTTTTAGGGTTTTTAGCAGGCTGTCAGGGTCATATTGTAAATACAGAGCTTTGATGTTTTAAAGGAATATTTCAACCAAAAATGAGAATTTGCTGAAAACTTACTCACCCTTAAGTCATCCAAGATGTAGATGAGTTTATTTCTTAATGGGAACAGATCTGGAGACCTTTAGCATTTCATCACTTGCTCACCAGTGGATCCTAAGTGAATGGGTGCCGTCAGAATGAGAGTCCAAACAGCTGATAAAAACATCACAATAATCCACAAGTAATCCACATGACCCTAATCTTGTGAAGTGAAAAGCTGTATATTTGTAAAAAAAAAAAAAAGAAAAAGAAAAAAACAATACATCATTAAAGTAACTTTAGCTGTTGCTTTTGGCTAAAAATATTTTAAAATATATTTGGCTAAAAAGTCCTTACCCTATTGTCCTCTCACATCAAAATCCACCAACATAATTGTTTAGAAATGTTTTTGCTTATAAGTTATCTTGATCTGTGCATATTTCTCTCCTGATTCAGACGAAATGACTTGTTCACTGGTAAAAAAATATATATATATATACAGACATGCAGCTTTTGGTTTCACAAAATGGACTGGATTGGTGTGGATTATTGTGATGGTTTTAGCAGCTGTTTGGACTCTCATTCTGACGGCACCCATTCACTGCAGAGGATTCATTGGTGAGCAAGTGATGCAATTATACATTTCTCCAAATCTGTTCTGATAAAGAAACAAACTCATCAATATCTTAGATGGCTTAAGGGTGAGTACATGTTCAGCAAATTTACATTTTTGGTTGAAAATGTATTGAATATTCAATAGGCCCTTACAGACAACTATTCTGGAGAGTGTTTTGTATGTCGTAACGGTCTTCAACTTAAAATCCTAAAATGATTGAGATATTTAAAACAGTGCTTGGACAGCAGTCCAGACAGATGGGAACAGAGCATGACATTCTGAGAGTGGTGGTCTGTGTGAGCCAAATCAGACTCGTGCCTTTGCCCAGGGACAGAAAGTGATTAATAGAGAGAGAAAAGCAGTAGTTTAGACTTCAGTAGATGAAGTCGGCACAGTTCTACCGATGACCAGGCGAGAGATCAGACACATTCCTGTCAGCGCTCCTGCTCGGTCAGTGTCATAAAGAGATGTCTATATGTGTATATATGGGGTGATATTTGTGAAAATATATAACATTCCACCGCTCTTTGATATTTTAACCACATGGCCCTCTTTCCCATCATATTCCTGGCATAATGAGGCTTTTTTCGGCCTGGACGAAGGGGAAACAGGCGCCAACTGTTACTTCATTGACAAGTCTGTGTGTTTGTGTTCCTCGGTCAATCAGCATTTATCTAGGCAAATATTTTGTTTTCCTCTTAAAGTGTGTTTGCTGTTCTGAAAGGAAAGGCAGCAGCTTGTTTTGGGTAATGAAAGGGTGAGTTTTGTGCCAGCAGTCGCGCCCCCTGTTGCTCTGTCATTGGTTAGTTCCTTTCGCATCAAAAGAACCAATCAGAGAAAGATCAAAGCTCAGCAAAAATGCCTGTTTTCCTCGCATTGTGGACAGATTGTCACGTGTAAAGCGACTGAGGGTTCACTTTAATTGTGAACTGGGGCAGACAGACAGGTTTTCTGCACCATGTTTCATTGTACACTGTCGTTGCTGAGTCATATTTTACTGTTATGAATACCAGTCTGAATTAAATTTGGTTTGATACAAAAGCAAAATTTTCTTTGCAAAATCACATCTTGCTGTTGTATTGTGCTCACGGACTTGCATAAAAAAACAGCATGAGATGTGTAGTCCGATTCAAGCACAGACAGCTCTTTTGAGCTGACTTTTTAAAGTTGTTCAATACGATTTAAAATAATCACCTTAAGTTACCGGTTTGAATCTGTGTGATGAATCTTGCACTGAATTAATCACTGAATCAGTAACAGGTTGACAGGTAACAGGAGTCGAAATAAATTATTATTTTACTCAACAACCAATATTTTATGATTATTTAAAGTGTCAAAGAGCCTATATGCAGATAATCACAAATTTAAGTGGTTTCAACTTTAACGTTTTTAAAGTTGTTTTTATTTACCAAATAATAATAATTATTATTATTAGACCACAGCAATAAAAACTTTTAGAATTAAAAAAAAAATGATTACAAATATTTATTAGTAAAGCATTATTATTATCTTTATTTTGAACTATATCTGTTAAAATGACACAGTATTTACTAAATAACAATTCTTCTTCTTCTTCTCATTGA